GCTGTCAGCTTCAGTAAAGTAAGTGCATAGGCTGTCAAGTGAGGGATAGGGAGGCTGCTTTACCTCTGCTATGCTGTTACAGGTGATCAGGCTTACTGAACTGCAAACAACAGTCAGTGTCTACCTTAGTTTGTTGGTGTAATAGCTGAAGCTTCCACAGAGCAGAAAATGCAGTGATAAATCAGATCCTACAGAGAAGAAGATATTTATTTTTCTAACCAGGTAGGGCATTTATAAATAGGAAAAAAAGTAAAGTAGAAATATGATGTTTGGCTTTTTCCTTTTAGAAGAAGCATGGCATCACTTTCTAGTATGCAAATGAACAGACTAATTAAGTGAAAACCAACCTAAGGCAACAGAGACTGATTCTATTGGCATATATCTTGACCAGTCGAAGCTGGAGTGGAGCTGGCAAGAAGGACCATTGCTCTTAGGGAAGAGAAAAATTGATTTCTAGAATAAATGGGAGAGCCCATGTAAATGAAATAATATAGTTTGACAGGGGGAGAATTAGTAGTAAAGAATCAGAAGGGCATTACAGGGCAATCTTTGAAAGGTCCTGTATAAATCATCACCAAGGCTCATTTCTCATCTCTAAGGGTGGCCAGTGTCAGATGCTTCAGAGGGAGATGTGACAGTCTCATTGAAGGGACACGTGCCATTACCTGAGCATGTTGCCATATCTTTGGAATTTTTTGACAGTGTATGAGTTGTATAAGCAAAGGAGCCATTCTCAAGTCTGGGGTCCAAATTGCTTGATTTGTTTGGCAAGTATGTCTTCAAGGCTGGCTGCTTTCCTGATCTTCAGTGCGTTAGTACCAACATTCAGTTTTGTCACTGAGAAGGGTCTTGTAAAACCCAGGTTTTGCCAACCACAGTTTTGAGTATCCACGTTTAATATTCTGTATACCATTTTTGCCTACCACAGTATACAATTTTGAATAACCACAATTATTCAAAGGAGTGGGAGGAAGGGAAAGGGCCGGGAGTAGGAGGGAAGGGCTGCAGCTGCGAGGCATGGCCACAGGGAGCAGAGGCTGAGCCCAGCTGCAGCCTGCCCATACCCTGTACAAAGATTGGGGGCCCACGTGCCCCCCCCGCTTGGCTCCCCGGTACCGTACCGCACCGCATCTGGAGGAGCCACCAGACTCCAACTGCCCCACAACCTGGCCCAGCTGTATTCACAGTGCATTGGGCCTTGGCCAGGCTGGGTCATGGGGCAATTGGAGCCCAGCAGCACCTTCAGAGCCAGCGTGGTGCCGGGGAGCAAAGGAGGGGGCACCTGGGCCCCCAATATTTGCACAGGGCAGAGGCAGGCCGCTGCAGGGCTCAGCTTCTGTTTTCCACATCCGTTCTTTGCTGTTGCCTTGTTGCCAGAGCTATCCTACCCATGATGGGAGGGAACAGCAGGCCCACTTGCCACTGTGCCTCACTTCCCTTCCCCGCGACCCAGCGTGGCAGGGAGCAGAGAAGCCGCACGGGGATCTCCTCACCTGCCACTGCTCACCCTGCACTGCCCGGCGGTGCTCCTCCTGCGCACAGTGGCCCTCCCCCTCCCCTGGATGAGCCACCCACTGCCCTGTCCTGCTCCCCGCTGGGGCCCTGCAGCCCCTGGCCCCCCCCAAGCACCACCCAGCTGGGCAGCAGTCCCCCAGCTCCCTCCCTACAGGGGCCTCAATCCCCTTGTACCCTCACTTACTCGCTTGTCCAGGGGTGTGGGTGGGTAGTTCCTGCTGCCACCGGGCTCAGATGGTCCCACGACCTGGCCTGGCCAGGGCCCCATTCAAGTCCCTATCCCCATTTTTCCCATAACCCTCTGATTTTACCAACCACAGTTTTGCCAACTGCAGGAACTTCCAGGAACCTAACCCCTGTGGTTGACAAGGGAAACCTATATTATTGTCATATCAGTTGACTCAATCTGGGTCTGCCCAGATTTCCTGTGGTCTTCTGTGATGGCTAGCATGAGCTTCTCACTTGTAGCAATGGTGTTTGTGGGAAAAGAGTCTAGTTCATACTGTCGTCTGTAGTTTCTGTTTGGGTCAGTGGTTTGTGGAGTGAGGCTTGGGTCGTAATTCTTGCAGCAGCCCCATGAGATGTTCTACCTTGCAGATTTCTGTGCAGCTTTTATGAATTGGTTATAGTTCTTAGGCAATGCTTTGATGGTTTTGACTGTCATGAAAGTAATCTGAAAAGCCTTTGCAGTTTGCCTTTTTAAGGTTAAAGCGTCAGCAAAATGGCACTGTTTATAGGTGTTACTGTGGCTTTGATCTGAATGCCACTTGGTTGATGTTGGGAATGTGGAATGGGGTCTAATACTATTTTATTACTTAGCCCAGCAGTGGTGTTGCTGGTGAATATAAACGGTCTGGGTTATATCCTTGTTTCCAGCGGCTGCTATTGAATGATTTAGATAGCTTTGGGTCATGAATCAAACTCAGCTAGTATG